ACAAAAAATAAAAACTAGGAAGAGGGATATTTCTAAGCTCTCTATTCACTCCCATTTGTTTACAGGTATGCTGCTGGGACAGCAAAGTCTGGTTTGAATGACTGGTTGCACTATGAAACTTCCCAAAGACAGGTCTCTCTTTTGCCAAGCATAACTTTTCTGTACTAAATTAATTTCCATCGTGAATGTACAAGGGGAAATGGAAATTTTAGGAGTATGCTTGAGAAATAAGAATTTCAATTACAAGCACTCAACAGACCCTGGAAAGTGTTTTTTTTGGTCCACTCCCTTATGTGTTTTAGAATCTTATAAGGCCACAGCATAACCAGAGTACTGCTGCCATGGTTGTTAAACTTTGAGAATAGCATCTTATCAGGAAACACCTCTGAGGTTGCATGCAATGACACATGCACACAGCTCAACAAGTTTGTTGACAGTAAGCTCTCAGCTACTGCTTTTCACTCTTTACAGTTCCAGCCAATGTCACTGTCTTTGAAGAACAGGAAGAAGACAATGAAGTGCATTGCTTAATATACCCAGCTGCAGTAAAACTGGGAGCCCTCCTCTCTTTTGCCACAGATCAGAATATGCCCCATTTCTTCCTTTAACTTATAACATTCCCCTTAAGCAACCCTAACTCCACTGTATTAGGTGCTTCTGGACATCATGTGTGGGATTACTGCTGTGGGGGCAGATATTAAACCGCTGTTTACAGTAAATGCGATGCAGGGAGAACCCAACATTGTATTGGACGTTTCCCACTTTCTGTTCCCATGCTGAATGATGTGACCTCATGTGAGGCTCAGGACACACTTACTATTTCAGGCCACATCATGGCTATCACTCATAAAGTTATTTGACTGAGATGGTCGAGGTGGCAAATGCCTTCTATTGGGGCTGAGAAGGTGAGACAGGAAACTCAACATCCCAGTTGAACAGGATTGCAGAAACAGGATGAGAAAGAGTATTTTTCAGGGAGTTCAGGTCCAGCCAAGATATCTGGAGACCAATGCTTCACAGGCTCGGCATTTCATGCCTGGGATTGCCACTATTCACACCACTGCACCTAAGAGATTGCTTGCACCCAGCTCTAGGCTGCTGCACATGGTGAGTCAAATGTCCACACAATGCCTCGCTTCCCTACAGAGATCACAATGTCACCCAGTCAGTAGGGAAGTGCACAAAGGTCTGTCTTCTGTCCCAGTCCACCAACATGGCCACAGAGAACCACCCTTCCCCTGAAAGGAGCAGCAGGAGCAGAGAGGTCTGGCACAGCAGTATGTCAGAGGCAGTGTTTTCCTTGTGATTTTTATGAGCCTCCACAAGAAGGAAATTAGAAACTGAAGTCTACACTCTCTCCCATTTATAAATGTGTCTGTAATGTGTACGTTGTGCTGTAGGTTAACGATGCAGTTCTCAAGCAAGATTAACTGCTGCTTCAGACAGCCATCAATTTTTTATGATTGCAAGATCATTTCCCTGCTACTAAAACTGCATGTTACATTCCCCAAGGGCTGGGCTGTATTCAGCACCAGTCAGGTGTGTAGGGTGGGAAGATGAGAATAAAAGGAAAGAAAAAAGAAAGCAAGCAAAAGGCACAAGCTGGTTCCCCAGCTCTCACACCAGAGAGCAGGTGCATGACTTCCCTTCCTTGCTGTCACTTCTGTCCATCCTGAATAAGGTTAAATATGCAGATGTGTGGACATGCTACTGACCCTCAATGATGGGGCCAGCCCCCTCTGAAGTGACATTGCAGGCATTCAACACCCAATACCAGCCAGAAGTGACTTTGTACAAGATCAGCACAAGTGTCACCCTGTCTCAAGAGGCTGGGATGTTGTTCATGCCTGAGAAAGTCCAGAGATTGCTTAATGCTATTATCAGACTTAATGCTTTTTATCAGACTTTGTCTATACCTGGGGCAGATTCCAAAGGGCTGCCTATGGCTGCATCAGCAGAACAAGGGGAGTCACCTCATCCACTGACAACTGTCCATGGAAAGTTGGAAGAATTGTCCTTTGTAGGTGACTCATCTTTTCTACACCAGCTACAGAAGGGAGCCTTATGCCTACCCTTGATTAGAAGCACATTATTAGGAGCTGAATCCTCATCTGAAGTACAAGTCTTTGACCTTTTAACTCTGAGCAGGTACAACTGGTGAGGCTGAAAGGATCCCAGCTAACTTCATTAACAATAGTTCACATTTTAACCTGATTGGTAAAACTTTTACCATTCAGTTTGAACCTTTTCAGAAGACTAAACCAAAAGACAGCAGTGTCTTTGTAACTACAGCCTTTGATTCAGCTTTGGGCTGGCTTGTTCTCACATACCTTACTTTGACTGTATGCAGAGAAATAATTCACATCTGTGCAAAGAACCTTGTATCCTACTACTCAATTCTTTGGTTTGGTTTTGGCTGATGAAATGAGGCAAGTAGGAAAAAAATAAATGAGGCCTCATATCACTAACCAACAAGCTGTTATATTGCCATTACCATAATTGCAGCCGAGATCTTTATTAAAAAATGAGACTGGAAACCATTCATTGTGAACATTGCAACACTAAATAGGCTCCTAATTAAATTAATCCAAGTACTTTAAAACCTGTTCTGGTGTTGGTTCACTGACAGCAGCTGAATGACCCTCAGAGAAAGCCCATGCTTAGGTTCATGATTAACTGCATTTCTTTCACCCAGCTCTTACCCATGCTTGGAGTTTGTAGCGGAACACTCTGGGCCTCAGCAACATTGACATTTTCTAGGCATCTCCCATTATTCCACAGGCACAACTGCAGCTATGGCTGGATTTTGCCATTTGCAATTGTGTTGAAGAAAGCATATGGCTTGCTCTACTGCAGGGACTTGGGATGGGACGCTCCAAATGTGAACCCTTAAGTGTGTAGCTGCCTATGCTACAAACCACAACCACCACTATAGAGTTTACCTTTCTGCTTCAACATCTGCATGGTGAGATAATCTTCCAGCCCCCTAAATCAAGTGTTTCTTGATAAAGCAAGGATGGACCTCAAATTCCTTTGCATAGAAAATGTTCTCCAGACATATGTCAATGAGGACCTTTTCCATTAAGCCTGAGTTAACAGAATATACATAAAAGTAAGCTGATGCATCTACTGGTACTGCACCCATTAAGCAAACAATTTAAATATTTATGAGGAAGGAAAATATTACAGCCTTTAGTACAAATATGCAGGGTCTCCTGACCTTCTGTAGGGAAATACTGTAAATCTTTAAAGCATACATATGTAACTACCCCAAGCTGCTACACAACAATTATTTACAGGGCAGAATATCACTCAAATATGCCAGATTTGGCACACCAGAAGCATTTCCACTGAACTGTATATGGGCCAAAGACCAACTGTGTAAGTTCTTTCTCTTTCAATAAAACCCACAGACCAAATATTATCAATTTATGATGGACAACAATATTGGCAATGTCTGTATATCTTCACTATTTTGAGAAAGACACCTTGCAAGTTGGACAGTTGGTATGGGTCATTCATAGGAGATGTGATGTTTTTCAGGGCTGGCAAGCAGACACCGCATTGCTGGACTGCTGAAACCTCACAACATGAAGGCAGCCAGGCCAGGTCACAACCACAAAGGCCAGAGACCACCACGGAGGAGCAGGGTGGTTCACTGGCTCCTTCTTACACACCCCAGCAAGGAGGAGAACAAGTCCACAGGCAGCCAGACCACTACTGAAATAGCAAATATTTATCAGTGCTCATGCCAGTACTACCTCAAAATACCAGCACGAGAACTGGTTGAAAGAGGCATGTCTTCTGTATTCCTCAGCTATTTGAAGAACAGCAATCACTATATTTTTAAAAGCTGAAAGGCCTGACAAAGTAATATTTAAATGCAGGAAGGGTGCCAAAATGATAAGTGAAGGGACTTGAGCCCTCCATTCGTATGCAGAACAGGTAAAGTACAAGCTGTAGCAATGCAAACTTCAATTTGTCTATTTCTGTGGTCCCACCATCGCCAGAGTATGGCAGCTCCCTCCAAGTGCTCTTGACACAGCAGTAATATTTTCTTCTCTTGCAGCATATTTGAGACAAAATATTATTAACTCCAAGCTTGTTTGCCTGCTCTGGGCCCAGGTGTGTGTATGTAGAAACCTCAGCATCTTTGCCTGTCTGTTTTCATGCACAGTGCTGCTCAGAACACTGGACATGGACAAGATTACAGGAACAAACCTAACGTAAACTAGAGAGATTCAAAAGTCTACAACTCCTGAAATGGCTCCTTTTCCATCAACCTGGAGCGAACGGAAGACATTCTTGTGTAAACATGACAACAGTTACTTTCTGGTTTGTCTATTAAATACAGGGAAATGCATAATGCAGGGTACTAAGACTGTAAAACAGTTTTGAACAAGCAAAAGACATTAAACAGCACATGCTACATGAGAGCCACGGCAACCTCACTGGTAATTATTTTAATGTTTCCTAATGCTACCACAAGATACTTATTTCACTGGCTATTATACTAAAAACTTGTCACAGTGCTGGGGGAAGCAGGGAATAGCTTGTGTATCCATAATGTGATCATTGCCAATATACCAGTGAGGGACTCTTCATTAGGGACTGTAGTGACAGGACAAGGGGTAACGGGTTCAAACTTAAACAGGGGAAGTTTAGATTGGATCTAAGGAGGAAGTTCTTTCCTGTTAGGGTGGTGAGGCACTGGAATGGGTTGCCCAGAGAAGTTGTGAATGCTCCATCCCTGGCGGTGTTCAAGGCCAGGTTGGACAGAGCCTTGGGTGGCATGGTTTAGTGGGAGGTGTCCCTGCCTATGGCAGGGGGGTTGGAACCAAATGATCTTAAGGTCCTTTCCAGCCTTAACTATTCTATGATTCTGTGATTCTAATGCATTCTCCCTCAAGTATCACAGTCAGAGCCTACATATCTAACCCATTTTACTTAGTTTTACGAGGAGAAAAGCTACTTTCAAAGAAATAGCACCAGCAGGCAGAAAAGGAGAACAGAGTAACTTTATGGTCATTTCAAAAGAAAAACAGAAGGCTCAGATGAGGACATCTCTCATACCACAGTAGCTGGTCCATGCACCAGCAAAGAATGGAACAGGAGAAGTATATCCAATTTCTTCTTTTCTTTTTTTTTTTTCCTGTTTTTAATTAGATTATTGCCCCTGTACTTTTATTGAGGCTATAAATATTAAACATTGGCTGCATAGTCTTCCCTGGAGGATGCTGGCAAGCTCATTGTGATGTTGCATAACTTTGTAACTTGAATGGCAAATTCTTTCCTCCCCCAGCTCAATTTCCAGAAAAAGCATACTGCAATTTAGGCCCAAAGTTTGTCCCTTTCAGATAAGACCTTGTTTTGCTTCCCAGCTTGCTTGAAGCATAAGTGGTTTAGCCAAGAAAAAGCAGGGAACTCTAAGGTTAAACAGGAAGATGGACAAGAGAACAGCTTGATTGACTGGACCTTCAAACACTTTGGCTGTTCTAAATTCTAAACATAGTGAGAATTAATGAGGTAGAATTGTCCTTCACCAAAAATTGCCCTAATGCTCTATCACTGAACACTACGGAAGAAACAGAAGGCAAGCTCCCACACCCACCTTCACACTGGCATAGCTACTGGTTTCCCTTTCAAATAGGTACATTTAAACTTACTTCTGATAGAGCATGCTGATATACCGTCACGAGGGACAGGCAGGTTGATCCCAGAGAGCAGCTAATCAAGCCAACTCAGATGGCAGTACAGGGAAGGAGAGCAGAAAAAAAGCTCTTTGAGTTATAACCACATCTGGTTCTTCCAGATCAAGTAGAAAAGGCCACAACAATGACTTTTACCACCACCTCATCTTTTCTCCCTGTCACACAGGTTCTCAGGAAATATGAATCACTCTGTGAGGGGCATTGATGCTTCTGATATAGACAGTTTCTGAAAAGACAAAAACACACCCGGCTGCAGAGCGGTACCTTTGGGGCTGGTCTCATGTGTCTATGAGTCTGAATACTCCTGGGTCTGGAGGGATGGCTTAAGGGCTCTGCTAACCATGCAGCAAGCAAAAATGTAACCTAATTTACACTTAGACTATTTGCTACCTAAGGAAGTAGATCTATGTGTCTGTCTTTAAAACAATCCATCTAATGTATTTAAAACAAAAAAAAACCTAATACATAAGAAACCCAAGTGTCACAATTATCATTTCTGTACAATTGCATGTTATGAATCCAAATTGATGCCAACATCATGCATGTGTGCACCCAAAGGACACCATCTTCACCATCTTATCCCTGATTTGAGGAACAGCTGAAGAATACCCTTGCAAGGGAAAAAGGGTACGTAATAGAATCATGGAATGGTTTGGGTTGGAAGGGACATTAAAGCTCCAGCTCCCCTGCCATGAGCAGGGATATCTTCCACTAGACCATGTCACCCAAGGCCCCATCCAACCTGGCCTTGAATCTTGATGCTTTTTTCTTCTGAATCTCATCCTGGTTACTAGGTCTATTATCCTAGGTCTACAGTAGGTCTGAATCCTAACTCTCTTTGCTAAGATTAAATATTGCATCTTTCAGCACTAGTGAAAACTGGAATTACTGTAAATAACTTTCACATTGGGTTCAGCCTTCTGTCAGTTGACTCATTCCCATGCTTTACAGTACTGGCCAGAGTCCATAAGAGGCAGGACTGGAAGACAGTTCCAGAGTCACCAAGTCCAGGCCTATACAGCTGCAGACTAGCAGCTCATATATCATCCCCATCTCCTACCAGGGACATGATGCATTTTGTACCTGCAAAGTCAATAGCTGTATTGTTTAGATCCAGACCCCCTTGAGTTCAGGGCAAAACGTCATTTGACTTAGAGACAGCCCAACTCTAATTCTAGTTACAGCTGCCCAATCCATTTGCTTCCAGCAACTGCAACATTTGGCTTCTTTCAGCAGTGAACACCATAACCCTGACACTGATGAGATGAACAAACACAAAGAAATATGCAAGGAAGACAACAGGTAGAATCGGGAGCAGTACAAACGAGAGAAAGTCTGTCCTTAGATGCATATTAGGTGATGTTTTTAATATCTAATTAATTTGGATCCTTTTCCTTTGTACTCTAGACATGTGCTGGGAAGTGAGGCAGAGAGAGGTTGAGAACTAAGAGAGGGTGTCATCATGGGTAGTTCGTCACCTTGATTTGCAAAACCAGCCAGAACTCTCCACCTTTGCAATCCAGTTGAGGTAGGGTTCAGCATGTAAGATGGGGTTTCATATTTGTCAGCTTTCTGTATCTATCACTGCAGAGGAAATGAAAATACAATAATGAGCAACGCACCCTGTAGCCTTGGAGCTAATTACACAACTTTCTTCACAAAGTAAGTGGAAAACACATGAGCTTGGAAGATATCCATGGAGCAATTAAAGACGCACTTGTCAACATGTCACAAATACTGTGTTTTTACAGTTGAAATGAAAACACAAAATGCCATCTGATTGAACTTCAGAATAATTAGCACATCACAGCACACAACCGCGACAAGTACCTGTCAACAGCTATCAGCACAGCAGTGACATTTTCCACTGCGAAAAATAATGCCATTTCCCACTTTTGAATAGTAACACTATTTTTTGTCCTTTGAAAAAGCAGCATTGTTTAAACCAGAGATGTATCTGTAAAACAAGATTTCATTCTGCTAAGTTAACTCAAACACTTACTTCATAGATTTTGTAACCGAAGCTCTAATTCGACGTGCAAAAGCCAATGAAGCTCTAATTCCACACAGCTCCTGGAGGAAGAGCCCTTGCTAGCCAGTGCCTATGTACTCCCAGAACTCTTAGTCTGTATGCCAAGCTGCATAACCAGCAATGCTCTGGACTCGTACCACACTGGTTATTTCTTGTATGAAACACACCAATATAAAGATACACCAGAGACTTGGGTATTATGAGCGATGTTCAGCAATTTTCAGACAAGTTAATAATGACAGCTCTGCTGTGCTCCTGGAGTAGCTTGTTAAGAGAAAGGGAAGAAAAAGTCAAAGAAAGTCTCTGTGAGGATTTATTAAAGTTGACAACTGTGCTACTGCTCTGCTTTCTGTAAGCAAGTTGGTCATTAATAGGTGTGATTGATTGAATTGCATAGGCTGGCAAGTACAATCTCACCCCTTTTGGGTGGCTGTGCACAATTATACACTTGTCCATGACTTTAGCAAGTCACATGAGCTTAGACTGTTTGGTCTTTAGAGTCTTCTAAAAGAAAAGATTCTAGCAACAACAAACTAGCGCTCCTACGAAGACAAGATTGGAAAGAAAGGCTGGAAGAAATCAATGTAGAGTCAGCCTTGGGTACTGACTGTAGGGCAGGACTGAGCAGGAGTCAGGTCCCTCATTTGATGTAGCTGACAGTAAAATCGGTATTGCCTGATTGAGGATGTGGTTTTCCTATTTGCAGCACATTGCAGCCCTCCTCTGTTCCATCTCTCTCTGTGCTCTGAAACAACACAGCACAGTGAAGCACCAAGCAGAGATGCTGAAGTTAGCTTTGAGAGCCTCAGTTTTGGGTGATAGCAGTAATATAGCCACATTGGCTGAACACACTGTCCAGGCTGAGAAGCAGGTATAATTTAGAGGGAGCTTGATATTCTGCATGATGCTTCCTTGTGACACATAGTTTTACCTTACATGAGAGGTAAATCAATTCCTGTAGCCGTTCCTAACTTGGTTTGTCTGCCCACCAGAGTGACAGCTTTCAATGCCAGCTGGCATGAGACTGGTGCCATCACAACAAAAAAGATCTCTATTTATATTAACAGGATTAAGTAACTGATCCATAGAGGCAGCTCATCTCCACTCAGAGCATAGAAACCCACCTCCAGTGAAATATGTATCATTATATCACAGTCCTGAGCAGTCAGTTCTGCTGAGGCTTCACATACCCTATTTGTCTCTGTCTTGTATTTGTCATGTCTTGACTTTAGCCTTTTAAAAGTCAGGTGTTTATTTTCAGTAGCAGTGATGGCTTCTGGTATAACCCATGGGAAGACACCAGTATCTCCAGACAGCAAGAGACCTCATCACGTTTCTTAGACACTTGCATCTGCAGTTTCCAGATTGTGCAGAGAGCTCAGGATGACCTAGAAAGTTGGACTGCTACTGGTACCATTGTATACCAATCCAGCTTGGGGCTTGCCTAATACTGGAATTGTAACAAAAATGATCCAAAATCCTTGTTGTGTTTAAATGCCTTCCACTTCTGACTCGCCTCAGTGTGAGAGGAGCCCTCTCCCTACTGTGTTAAGTTTTATGCCATTGAAGCTAAAAGCAATTTTGCTGTAGAAAACCTGAGTCTCTCAGTATGATGTTCTACTAAATGACACTGGAGCATTTGCTATGAAGTTTGCTGATTAGGAATGGTCATGGACCAGGTGGATAAAGCTGGTGCTTTCTCCCACATCATGTAAAATTCAGATGAAATTTTATTTAAAGTTTAACAACAAAGATCTTCAAGGGCAGGATTTGTCTCTCTGTCTCCATCCCCTTGAGCACTAATCCACAAATCTCTGCACTTCCACCCACCACATAGAAAAGACCAAATGCTACCAGAAGACTGTATCTGTGGCATTTTAGGCTTGACAACGAGTATAAGAAGCCACAAGGAAACAAACTGTTGAAATTTCCAATAACTCTCCAGAAACCTGCAACATCCACAGAACTCCTGCAGTGACCGAGTTGCTGTTGTGGTTGCCTGCCCTGCAGCCCAGTGTCCCAGAACAGAGATGGCCAGCCCCTCCTGTGAACACCACCACGACCACCAGCCAAGGTAAAGAAGAAAGTTCCTGCTCCTCCTCTGGAGGTGAAATGGGCTGTTAGATCAGTTCTGTCACCAAAAGGGTTGACCCTTTTCTGACTCCATCACTTCTTTTATTATTGAGCACCTAGCTGCTTAATGAGCAATTTCAGGCCTCAGTTATTCTGGGGGATTGGGGAAGAGGGCAGAACACAGCTCCCCATTAACAATTTCTCATGGTTTTGATTCTTAACCTACTTTACTTATTTTTGGTTTTGTGGAGAAGGACCAAAGAGAACCCCCACAAGACTGAATAATAGGTGAGTAGGAAGAGACCCTTCCTCCACAAAAGCCTGTCTGCAGTGAGCTCAATAGGTAACTGAGCTTGTGGTTTCCAGTACAAATCACCCTCCAGGGACAATTATTATAATCCTTCTGTGTCCATGGAGGTTGATGCTGGCAACCACATCATGACACATATATATGGGGACTCCTTGGCAGCCTTGTACAAGAGCATCCTCATGCAGTAGAAGTATCTTGGCTGAAAGATCTTAGGCTGGATAATGTCATTTTCACGTGCTAGAGCCATTGATTCAGCTCATGGTGCTGCTAGGGGAGAAATGAATAATACTGTTTAGCAACAGTACAAATGCACCTTGCAACATCTGTGCCATAGTAGAATGACTCCAAAATGGAAACAAAGCACGGAAACTGCAGGGCTAACAGTAACTCTCTGAAGAGGCAAATCTTCTGTAAACTCCAACATGTCACTAAAAAAGTTTCATTTTCCACTTAAAAGCCTTGTCATTATTGCATGCTGCAGAGATTTAATGAAAGGTGCCTTTTAAACTAATTTAGGTCAACTGTTCAAAAAATCCTGGAAGGATACGTAATTATATTTCAATATGATTTGCACACGTTTAGTGTAAGTTCATGCCTTCTCAGGCTGCTCACTGAGAATCTAAATGACATGCTGTTGGCTTGGCTGAGAGAGGCTGAAAGGTGGGGGCTGTCCATGGCAATGCCCCAGCTTGGGAAGTTCAATGATGACCTTAGCAAGTGGCAAGTGAAGATGCCATCTGAGGGACAGAAAGGGCTGGGTGGGCTGGAGGTGTCTCTGGGGAGCAGGCCCAAGTAGAAACCTTTGTGGCTCAGCCATTAGGCTGCCCTCCCTTCAACTTGCCCACAGGGCAGAAAGCCTGGCATAACTTAGAAGGGGAAAGCTTTGAGACATGAACATTTTGAGCCTTGCAAAGACTAAGGAACTACAAGGAGCAGTTACTCTACTAGTACCAGTAGTAGCAGAGAAAGGAACTACAAAAGACTAAGGAACGTTTGTGAAGCTTGAACAAACGAGACCCCAAGGAGGGGAATACTATGGCAGAAGCATGAAGTGCCTACACTATCGGTCCCTTTAATGTGACATCCTGTTTCCCAGGACAAGATGATTAGTAAAGGTTACAGAACCCCCCAGACACACTGAATATACGCAGTGATGCTTCCTGTAGGTTTTCCTCCCAAGCTTCCCACACTTAGTGGTTTAAGGGCATCCTGCACCATAAGCTACAGCCAGATCATTATTTTACCAGCCTCCCACCCTGCATGCAAACAATTAATTTCATTTTCAACACAAGTACATTTTTAGACTGCAACATCCTGTGGCAGTGACTTCCATTTAGTTATGTGCAATACAGAAAAAAAAAGCAGCCTTCTTTAACTACTTTAGCCATAGCTCTCTTGTGGTGGTGAGCAGTGGTAAATCACTGTTCCTTGTTTGCCTTTCCCACAGATTTTATGATCTTGGGACTACTAAAAACACATACCAAGAGAACTCCCCAAGTCTAAACCAGTAAACACCTGGGAAACAAACAGAGGGAGAAGAGAGAGAAGCAGATTAAAGCAAAAGTCAATATGTATCAACACAGAGTTTTAAAGCTCTGCAAGATTTAAATAGGAGTCAGCACCATTCCTCTTGTTCTAAGGAAATCAGTAGCATCTCACATTTCCCGAGTTCATCGCTTTTCTTCTGTCTAATTTGTAGAAGGCAGCATGTCTAACAGAGACACTGCTTTAAGGTGCTATATGGAAACTTCCCCAACAGTTTTATTTTCAGGTTGCTTTGATTCCCACCACGGTTTCACCTTCAAAGATACTTCAGAGCATATCCAGCTGATGGTTCGTGTACACGTCCCCAGCCTAGTCAAGAGTCTAACGCTTGCTTTGACAGGCATTTTTCATCTTTATCTTCCTAAACTGAAAGGCATGCATACATATACCCCAAAGTGTTTCCCATCTAGTGTCCTAGCCTAACAACTGCACTTTAATTGGTCACAGGCATTAAACTGAGCCCAATCACCAACTGAGCAGAGTAGTGCCTCACATACAATTTCTATTGTTTTCTTTTAACATTGCGCCTCAGATAGCTGAGAAATAAACATAGGCTGATACCCATCTGTCAGACCAATAAAAATAACACATTTAATGGGGTTAGAAGCATCTCTGCTTTGCTTCCTCCTCTGGCCCTGCAGTAAGAGCTGCTCAGAGTGGTCCTGAGGTGAGGTTATCTACAGAGATAGCCTCAACAGGCTGCCTTAACTCGTACCAGCCCTGGGACAGGTTCTGCCCACCAAACATCCTCCAGAAGTAACCCACAAGCTCTGTGTCCTCCAGTAGCCTCAGGGGGCCAGGTCAGGAGCAGATCAAGCCCCCATGGGGCAGGCACCAGCCTGACTTTAGGGCATCTGCATCCAT